CTAGAAACCGGGTTTCGATACCCGTGGTGGGCAGAGCATAGATGTGCTTAACGTCAAATAAACAAACAAACGAATATAAAAAAAAATTAGTTAGCACTGCAAATATTTGCAATCAATTCTGTTAAAAACGCTCTTTATGGAAATAAAGTTTCCTTTTTCTTCACAAAAACATGCATAAGATGTACTCTCGGGGCAAGCAAAACAGTCTCTACTCAAGTTTGTCATAATGAAATCAGATGAAATACAGTTACTTTACTAACAGTAAACCTTTACAGTTGTTTAGCATTAGTTTCCCAAATATAAAATCAATTCAGTACAATTATTGTCTTCCATTATTGTACTTTTGTATAACTTACAGTTTTAGTCATTTCTGATCCAAAATACAAAGTACATTCTGTTCAAACTATCTCGTACTCAGCTGAATCAAAACTTTATGTTACTTATATGATACAGTTTGACGCTATTGGTAAATAACAGTGGTATCATCAGAGTTCATCGAACGCCCTTTCAACCTTGGGGTCGTTATAATGTAACGGTCAATTCCACATTTCGCTGGTAAAGAGTAGCCCAAGAGCTGGCGGTGGGTGGTGTTCACTAAAGCCTTCCCACTAGTCTACCACTTCTAAATTATGGACAGCTATTGCAGATAGCCTTCGAGTGGCTTTGTGCGAAATTCAACAAAAACAAACAAACAAACAAGGTATCATCAGCTACAAGGCCATACCCTCGAGCATGCGTACTTGCAGGTGCGCTTAATCGTTTAATACAATTTCATTTTATTATTTCCTCGCTTAGGATTTTAAAAGATCTGTATAGCTTTTGTACGTTTTGCATTTCTGATAACAGACTTAGTGATGCTGCTTGCATCTGTGCTACAGGGGGTATATATACCCCCCCATCCTCTCCAGTAACAAAGAAAGAATGAATGTATATATACAGTGTAAAGACTAATCACTTCTTGAAAACTCACCTTAGCTTTACGTTTTTGGAGGATTTTTTTTCCGAATAATACCAACAACACAATGTATGTTAAGCTTCATTATCACCGATGAAAACAGCTATTTAAAAACACATGTCTGAAACTTGCATTTTTTGGATTAATGACATGATACAACGTGTAATAGGTTGTCGTCACCTATATCGAATGAAGGTGATAAAGACTGGAGGAAGGTAAATATGAAACAAAACGTATATATCTTCAGAACTACGCTTTTATATTTTCCGTTTAGTTTAAATCTTTCCATCCACAGGAGTTGAATCTTAAGGCTTACAAGTAAAAACAAGTGTTGTCTCACATTGTTATCGCAAGCTTTCCAGCTCATCTTCACGAGCTCTTGATCAAACGGAGAAGGGTGTGTGTGTGTGTGATAGAGAGAGAGGGTGCATTTTAAACTCAACACGCGGATTCGAAGCTCTATATAAACTCAAAATCATTGAATAGAAATAAATTATTCATGATATTGTTTTCAAGGGATCGTAATTTTGTGTCACAGTAAACTTGAAGTTTCATCAAAAATACTGTAGGAACTCATAAATTTACAGGAAAAACAGGCAATCGCATGACGATGTAAGTCAGTATTTTTTCCCATCCGATGAGTAAGTTATTGTTCATTATTGTATATTTGTCAACCAGAAGTGTAGTAAAATTCGTTTACATATGGAAGCGATATACCTCTCGAGGATTCCGTCCTGGGGAAAGCAGTAATTAATTCAGATACGGTTCAATAGTTTTTCTTTAAAATAACTAACATGATATAGAGAACGTAAAAGTTATACTTTTTAGTCAGACCAGCTTCACCTGTCGCGATCTTTTACAAACTTAATAAGTTCTGATTCCTGACGAAATTTTATGGTAATTAAATTTGTTATAATGAAGAAATGGTTTTTATGTATTTCACGTCATAAAGAAATTGAGACTTATTACATTGTCCCCTGGTCGGTCAGCGGTAAGTGTACGTACTTGCACCGCTAAAATCTTGGGTTCGATTCTCTGCAAGCTTGGGTTTGTTTGTTTGTAATTAAGCACAAAGCTACACAATGGGCTATCTGTGCTCTGCCCACCACGGGTATCGAAACCTGGCTTCTAGCGTTGTAAGTCCGCAGACATACCGCTGTGCCACTTGGGGAGCGCAAGCTTGAGTTTGAGCTGAAGCAAGTAAATCTACCCCTTTTCACAGTTTCTGCACGTAACTAAGACCACACCATTAGTAACCCTTGATATAGAACATTACAAACACCATACAAGCCAAACTTAAGTTTTTAAGCTGTGGTGCTGTAACTTGAACGATAAGATAATTCAAAGTGAGGTTAAACAATATTAACAGAATAAACTTAGGTGTTTAGGAAGTCAGTACTTTAACTGTACTGTAAAGCCTTTTTCTTTTCACTTTATATTATTGAACCACGTGGGTCAGCAGCTTGAGGATTTTTAATAACAGAATTCTGGATTCGATTCACGCGGCGGATAAAACACAGATAGCGCGCATTGTGCAACTATTGTGTTAAGACAAGAATAGACTTTTCCATTAGTTCAAAATTATGGATGGTTGTGCGCAGATAGCCCCTGCGGGAAATTGTGAAATAAATAAAGTGCATTATCGAATAATTCCGAGTTCTCTCGGCCGCTTCGGTCATCATGTTTAGTTAACCTTTAAAAGTTCTAAACATTATAAACACGTAACATAACTATTCACCAGGACTCGTAAAAGGTAACGATGGTTGTACACTTTTGTAACAGTCAGTTACTGTAGACTTTCTTGCAATGAAACATAGTTTCTAGTTCATACACACATTACATGTTTTACATCGTTGCGAAACGACTTTAGTACCATATCTGGTAGATGTCGCTGCAGTGGGAAAAATAAATATCGTTAATTCTATATTATGTCAGGTGATGTGTTTGCAATTACCGGATGTGACGTAGGCAAAAACTTTGTGTATGTTTCATAACAGAAAATAATGGCTATAATAAAGATTACGCAGGCCTACGAATTTAAACTTCATAAAAGTTGTTTTGGTTTGATCCTGCTAGCTCCAAAAATATGGGAAGACTTCGCAAATAAACGCTCAGCGAGAATTAATACAGGATAAAACCAGTTTTAACAATATTTTTCGGCATTATCAAATGTAAAAAAAATTATAGTAATCGTGAAAGTAGTTTTGTGGTGTATTGGCTTTAACAACAAGTAAATTTAGATTTGTGTAGAACAAACAAAGTCTTAGCGATTATTATACCCAGATTTTGTCAGTCTTGTGTGTCTTATTGTTATGGATTTCGCGCAAAGCTACACGAGGGCTATCTGCGCTAGCCGTCCCTAATTTAGCAGTGTAAGACTAGAGGGAAGGCAGCTAATCATCACCACCCACTGCCAACTCTTGGGCTAATCTTTTACCAACGAATAGTGGGATTGACCGTCACGTAATAACGCCCCCACAGCTGAAAGGGCGAGCATGTTTGCGAGATTGCGAGTCGAGCTCCATAACCACCTGGCCATGGCGTTAGGTAATAAAATTTGCTGAATATTTAGTATTTTTCCAATGATTTGTTAATGAAGAAAAAATAATGAGGTTATTGCTATAACGCAGTGTTTTCCAAACTGTGGGGAGCGCCTCCTTGGGGGAAGGGTACTGGTGGCTGGAAGGGGGAAGCCCAACAGAAGAGATGGAAACGACGACAACCTAACAAAACTATCACTCGCATTTATTCACTCCTTGCAAGCATTTTTTCATTTAAAAAATTTTATTAAAAACAGGTAAAGAAGGTGTCGATTTTGCTGTTATCACTTGCGACATTTTATTACAGGATTCGAACGTTTCGGAATACAGTTTTACTTCTAGCTTTTTAAGAGGTACATTATCAACGCTATTAGTCCATGAGAGTTGACTACCAAACGCCTCAATTCCCGAAGATAGCCCATTGCGTGACTTTGCGTTAAAATAACAATATCATTCGGAATTTGAGACAGTGAAAGGAAATTTGGAGAGGGTGTATGGTTTATTTCTAGGTATCGAACCCCAAACTTTGGCAATATGAGCCCTCAAATTTTAGTAGTGCTAGAATATTTCGCCCAGTGTAGGTACTCTAAACTGGAATTTTAAAACTGAACAGAACTTTGTTCGCCCTTTCCTCCAGTGGCTTAGCGGTTAGTCTAAGGGCGTATAACGCTAAAAATCTTGTTTCGATACCCAATACATAGAGCCCATTGTGCAGCTTTGTTCTTAACAACAAACAAACAGAACTTTATGCCCACGTGGGTAAGTGACCAGATCAGACCCCGATCAGAATGGAATCAGGCAGCCAGCCAGCACCCGCTACTACAACCGCTTTGCCTGTCTTTTAAGTGAATAAAGGAATTGACTGCCACTTTTATAACGCGCCTTAAAAGTGTGAAGCGTATTCAGTAGCTTCAAATCTCTAACCCAGCTTCCTTGGATACGCTAACCATCATACCATGTCCAGTTCTCTTTTTAATAAGTACCACAGACATCAGTGTATTGCGCAAATCAACAAATATTTTGTGTCAAATAGTAATCTTCATAATTTATTAGCTAAATCTGGTCCAGTGAATAGTGGTATCAAAATAGATAAATATCATCAGTATTCCGATGTTTCCCCTCTCTTGTGAATTTATTTTGTAAAAAAGAACATGTACAAGATAGGCGAGTCCTATATCGTGATAACATTTTGCTTCTTCTTGATGCCCCCCCAGTGGCACAGCGGTATGTCTGCGGACTTACAACGCTAGAATCCGGGTTTCGATACCCGTGGTGGGCAGAGCACAGATAGCCCTTGTGTAGCTTTGTGCATAATTAAAAACAATCAATCAATCTTCTTGATCGTACAGATTAGCCAGCGGTTTTCTTTACTGCCACCTAAAGATTGCTAATTCAGAAAATATTTAAAAATAAATTTGTCGCTGTATTTTGATTATGCTTTTTTTTGCAACCACGGTTGCTGGCTTATCTTTATAGTTTGAAAATCTTTTCATTCTTCTTATTAGAAACAGAATTATCGAGAAGAGAATTTACTTTCTTCTTCTTCTACCCAAGCCGAGCTGAAACCATTATCTAGTATGGACACCATGGCGAGGAGTGAAGGAGATGTCATGTTATCAACTGATTACAGAGCAGACTTTCTGGAGTCTCCCCAGAAGGTAAAACTGTCTGTTCAACGTTAGACCGGAGAATATGAACCTTTTTTTTCTTTAAATCTCTAGAGCGATATGACCACATAACAAAACAATTAGTCAAACCAATCACAACTGCAGATGTAATAAACAACATAAAACACTCAAAAATCGAGTGCCAGAAAAGGACAAAATACAAAACATACAAATAAAAAAAAAAGAGATCTCAGAGATTGTACAAGGACCTGTTTGTTTGTTTTGAAT